TTATTTAACATTTTTTGGAAAGTCCAAGGACTTATTTAACATGTTTTGGAATGTTCAAGGACTTATTTGTTCCCAAAAAAAGTTTAAGGACTTAATCATTCCAAATAAGAAAGTTCATTGGTTTTTATTGTACTTTTCCCTTATTCTTATCATCGTCTCATCCCATAGTTTGACCACTTTGTTTCTTTTCTAGTAATTTTTATTTTTTCATATATTTTTAAATATCAGTATACTCGGTAAGTGAGAAAAAAGATTTTTATCTGGTTAATGTTTACCAGATAAAAGATGCTTACCGAAACAATTCATTTTGATGGTAAAAAATGTCATCCGATACAGTAAAGTGAGGTTAATCATAGGTTGTTTGTTTACCTCTTAATAGTTTCATTAAAAGACAGCTGAATCATTAGGTCAATCTTGTTTGGCAATTGGCAAAAAAAAAAAAATTTGTCTCCTAATGATTCTAAAACCCTTTGAATGATTTTGTACCATGGGCCTTCCTTAACCATTCAACATCCTAATTTCAATGTAAACAATTATATTTCATTTTCCACCTACGTGGGACAATGGTTTTCTATGCTCAAACATTCACTTCAATTGCAACACTTCTACAATACCTGAAATAAAGTGCAATATATATACATATATACATACGGACAAAAAAGATTTGGTTGTAAACCAATTTTAGGTCGTGAACCGAGGGAAAGATGAGAGACACGTAAACATTCATGAACTATTCATGATGAATAGTACAACATTCATGATCTACGATACACCATTCATAATGAATCACTTGTGAATGTATTGCTCTCCTTCATCCCACAATTCACAACCCAAAATCAGTTTGCAACCAAACGTTAAATGCGTACATGTAAAACGATGGGTTTCCCCGCTCAAACATTCACTTCAATTGCTTATAACATCTTTTCAATCATGTTTTGGTCCAACTTCCATCCCCGTGGCGAAACTTGATTTCTTTAATGTTGATGTTCGATACATAACAGAACAAGACAAAACAAAAGCTTATTATTGGTGGGACAGTTGTACAGGACTTGGCAGCACAAAAACAAAAAACGTAGTTCTTTTGTCCAATCAAAAGTGAGGAAACAAAAACCAACCACCTATGTCAAATTAAAATCTTAAAATATTCCGCAATTCTTTCACCAACACGCCACGCCTCCCTCATTCTCGTTAGTCCAGTCCCATCTTGTCTGATCATGTCTAGGTACCAGATGCACCCGAATAAGCATGGATCGGAGTCTTCTAACAAGATTAACTCAGATCTTTCCTACAAAAGAAGCAAAATACGAACAAAAGCAACATAAACGGTTTAAACCCAATCCCCAGTCTAAAGAAACTACCACAAAGAAAGATCATATCATAGATTAAGTTTATTGTATTAAGTTTGCTTGTGGCTTATGTGAGGGGTCCAGGCTTATTTCATATAGCCATGTTGGCTTAATGGCTTAACAACACACCTAAGAGGCTGTTCCGTTGGCTTTCCATTTGCTGTCTGTGGAGATTAATTTGTCTGCATAGATTGAGAAGATATTTGTTTGAAGGGTCTTTTTCATGGATGAAAGAAACATGTCCTTAACTGAGAGGGACAGGTTTGGCAAAAAACTTGGCTTTCTACATAAAGCTCCCCCGAGAAGCTAGAAGCTTCCTGATTAAGCCACTTTCTATATCATTAAGCAACTAACAAACAGTCATGTATAGCTAACGAAGTAGGTTGTGAGTCTCATAAGCTCATTAAACTGCTAACATACAGACCCTAAGTAGAATGTTAAATAGTAATTTTGGTTCATCAAGATTCATGACACACCATGGAAGAGCCAAATCAAGAATCAATGTCCATAAGTCACTAGACACCCATTGAAGGTGTGCTGATATCAAGAAATCTTGATCAGATAACTTAGAACAGATTAACAGGACAGAAGAACAGATATAGATTCAAAAATGAACTCAAAAGAGAATCAAATGATTCCGGAAATAAGAACTCACCCCTGCAAATTCAGATTCATTTGAACTCAAAAGTTGGAGGTGCAGGCGAATCAAAGCTTTCTAAAACTTCAGTCTTCACCTTCGGCTTCGGTTCCTCTTCTTTGCCACCAAATAAACCACCAAACCATGACGGCGATGATGCCGTCGCCGGTGCCGGATCGGGTTGGGGACCTCGATTAGGCAACTGAAACCCTGCCTGTGGCGGCTCTTCGATTATCACCGGCGGAAGCTGTTGGGCGCTAAGGACTTTGTTGAGCATGATTCCGGCACCTTCAATTAGGGCTAACAGAACACCACCAAAAACCGCAGAGCGAGTCGCGGGGCCTAAACCCTGACGCATCTGGAGGAATCCTCCGGTGGCGGCACCGGCGATGATGGAGTTCCATGGATCTTCCTTCTGGCGTGCGTAAACCATGGTACAATCAAAGGCGGAGAACAAACCGCCCCATACGGCGAAGCTTCCGCCGACACGTGGCGCGTTCATACGGACCGCTTGCGTACCGCCGATGAAACGTTCGCCTTTCGGTGAGTTGTAGATTCCTTTAAGAAAGTGAAAGGCGGAGCCGCCGACGGCTCCCATGCCGAATGCGCCACCGATGTCGTCCAAGATCCGGTCCGGGCACGGTTCTCGTGAGGTTTCCGGTGTACCCATATCGTCGTTGATCCTGCTAGAGAATTATAATAGGGTTTAAGAGGCTTATTCTTGATTTGGATTTTGAAAGTGGAAATAGAAATCTTGAGCTTGCGTGAGGGTTTAGGGTTTAGGGGAAATTGTTTCTTGGGAAAACCGCTGTCCAAAATACTAAATATTTACAAAAAGAAAAACGAAAAAACCACCGAGTCGTGTTTGTTTTTATAAAAAAACTAGGGAAAAGTACAACAAAAATTAATGGACTTTTTTGTTTGAAATGATTAAGTTTTTAGATTTTTTTTGGAACAAATAAGTTTTTGGACATTCCAAAATATGTTAAATAAGTCTTTTGATACTTTTTTGGAACAAATAAGTTTTTGGACATTCCAAAATATGTTAAATAAGTCTTTTGATACTTTTTTGGAACAAATAAGTTTTTGGACATTCCAAAATATGTTAAATAAGTCCTTGAACAATTTTTGGAACAAATAAGTCCTTGGACATTCCAAAAAATGTTAAATAAGTCATTGGACAATTTTTGGAACAAATAAGTCATTGAACAATCCAAAACATGTTAAATAACTTCTTGAACTTTTATAAAACATGTTGAATACATTCTTATGACTTGTACAACTAGTTAAAGTGGTAAAATAGTGAAAAAAATCCGAAAAAAAAACCCAATGAACATTCATATTTTGAATGATTAAGCCCCTAAATATTTTTGAACCAAAAAGTATTTAGATCTATAAAATTAAACAAATATAACAAAAAAGTACTTACATTTACAAAAAAATAATTACATTTAAAAAAGATTKTTGATAAAGTTTATTTTAATTAAAATAAAAATATATTATGTCAGTGATTTTTCAAACAAAAAAAATAATTATTATTAAATTTATTTTAATTAAAAATATATATATCATGTATGTGATTTTTTAAATTAAAAAAAGATTTAAAAAGATTACTGGTGAAATTTATTTTAATTAAAAATCGTATATTTTATAAACTTTTTTTATTTTTTTTAGTTTAAAAAATCACTGACAAAATATATTTCCGGATTTTTTTCACTATTTTACAACTTTATCGTTCAAAATATGAATGTTCATTGAGCTTTTTTCCAGACTTTTTTTCCACTATTTTACCACTTTAACTAGTTGTACAAGTCATAAGAATGTATCCAACATGTTTTATAAAAGTTCAATAAGTTATTTAACATGTTTTGGATTGTTCAAGAACTTATTTGTTCCAAAAATTGTCCAAGAAGTTATTTAACATTTTTTGGAATGTCCAAGGACTTATTTGTTCCAAAAATTGTCCAAGGACTTATTTAACATATTTTGGAATGTCCAATGACTTATTTGTTCCAAAAATTGTCCAATGACTTATTTAACATGTTTTGGAATGTTCAATGACTTATTTAACATGTTTTGGAATGTTCAAGGACTTATTTGTTCCAAAAAAAAGTCCAAGGACTTAATCATTCCAAACAAGAAAGTTCATTGGTTTTTATTGTACTTTTCCCAAAAAACTACTAATAACCTCTTATGTCTGATTCGTTAAAAGATAAGAACATTTGGACTGTTTGTTTTTTTTTTAATTTTTTAGAGACATTTATATTTTATTGTTTTCTTATCTGGTAAGAAGTCCATCAATCTCTTATTTGTCTTTTATTGTTCTTCAAACTCTCAACAACGGCGTTTTTCAATCGATTAATCTTAATTGATGATTTCTCTCGATCAATCCTCACGTCTCTCAATTGATGTATTTTAATATGATTTAAATATGTTAAATACATTAATGATATATTTTCGTTTAAATGAATGTTAATTGTAATTTAGATGTAAATTTCGTAATGATGATAAATAAATATGTGGAATTGTATAAATTTTATTTATAAATTCAACAGTATAATTTTTTTAATGGGTAAATAGATAATTTAAACAAATTCAAACGTTTATCAGTTTACAAAAACAAACAGTCTTATTGATTCAGATTCCAGACGTCAGCATCACCTCTTATAAATCAGAAGTTAAATAAGACTTCAGACTTCAACACTTCTTAAAATACAAACGCCACCTAAGACTTTAATTTCATTTGATAAGTAAATATTTGATTTTTACGGGGTTTTTAACTAAATGCTTATCGGGTAATTGACAAACTTTTATCTTGTCGAATAACATTCGGGATCATCAAAATGGGTTGTTTATAAGCGTCTGCTACCTTGTAAATGCTAACGGAGGTAGGAACCTTTGTTGTTGTAATGTCACTTATCGAGTAAGATTCTTGGTTCTTATCATACTCCCCTGATAAGGTAAGTGACCTAATAAATCCCCTACGGTCTTGGCCATGTGCATGGAAAGTTTTAGGTCATTATGTAAGCAAGATCCTTGTGGACATGTGTATCATGATGGTTGTATTACAAAATTGCTCTCTTTTTGCAATTCTTGCCTAGTCTGCGGAAGCAAAGTGCTCGATGTACGATCAGAAATAGGTTCAGATCCTCCGATACAATGATGACAGTGGTGCCTCGTTAGGATAAGAGATGACAACTGGGTTGAGGGTATTGGACCCCAGTTCCTCCCCTTGTCAAAGATTAAAATTTCATCCCCATCCGGGGGTGGCGGAGGGATTCAAGGAGATCCCAATAACCAATTTGGTCCCGAGGTAAGGAATAATAACGGAATCGATCCCCCTTTTGACTGTACAAGAATATGTGGACCAACGTCTTGGAGCTAACGTGGGATCCGCTCAAGGGCCTACCGATGCAAAATTGTATGAATACGACCCTCGTTGCGTATCTTGATTATTAGCTTTTAATCTAATATCTTTATGCATAAATGTCAATTTAACGTTTAAACGACATATCATGCTAAAATTTCGATCAACCAAGTTTTCAATGTTGCATTTGTATAAGAGTAATATCAAACAAACCTGGTAATCATTTATATTATTTAATAATTGAAAATTTTATACATCCACATTGTTATATCACTGGAATTTTCTCCACAAACAATCAAACGGATAATGGATTGTTGTACATGTTTCCATCATCTTAAAAGATTCATTATATATATATATATATATAACTTTTTTTTATTAACCTGGATATCCAACCAGTTATGTGAATCGACTAATCCTAACGTGAACACCTGTTTTGTGGGTAGTCCGAAATCACCACATTTGAATCTTTGTGGTCACAAGAGGATTTTTTTTCTCATTGGATTTGAACCTGAGACCTTCAGATATTTTTGACCTTTAGAGACCAAACTCAAACCAATCATGCAACACTCTTATGGTTCGTTTAATATTTTTAGGAATAACCTGGATAGATTTTAAAAACGTATTGATGATTAACACGATGTATTTATTATAATGATTCTTTAGAAGGGTTTTTATAAAAAAAATTCAAATAAATTTTGAGGATTAAGTGCTAAATATTAATTGTTAGAAAGGTTTTGAAATAATAAGTTTTTGCATTAGAGGATGTTTTGAAGAGAGGGTTTTGCTTATTGGAAAACTAGAAAGGTATTCGTACAATGTAGAGAAATACATTTTGATTTTGATATTTTATTTTATTATTTATCTCAGTCGATGTTATAGTATGGTCTTATGTGATTTTGAAAAAACGATGATATTTTTATTTTTTTTTAAGTAAAATATAAATTTAAAGATATCATAAAAATTTGACAAAAATATATCGATATTAATGACAAATTAACTATTTAAAATTCTTTTTTTTATATAAATTTTTTAATTCAATTTTTTTATTATAATTTAATTTAGGTTCAATAACGAAGTAATTTATATTTGGTTTAATAATATAATTTTCTTGTAAATATAATAATTAATTATTTTTTAAGAAACCAATAATTATCTTAATTATATTTTAGATTTTTTATATTTTAAAATGAGATGTTTATCCTCTATTTGATTATGTTTATCCACAGTTAGTTACACGAATTCAAACATGCACCTTTAATAAGTTGTACTTATACATAATTACTTATAATCTTGAATTTTAAGTAATATGCATCAATATATAGTATTTCATGCATAAAAATAGTTTTTAAGAGTTTTTGTCAAATGCTTTATAATATAGTATAGACTAATATGGTAAAGAGAAAAAAAAATCATAAAGTACTTGTTCACGTACCTTTCGTTATTATTGTTATAACCTATTGGTTGGGCGGGTTGAGCTAGGTCCAACCCAATTTTAACCCTCCTAATTGACGGGTTAGAGGTTAGGCAGTGGGCGGTTCAGCAGTTAAACGTGTTGGGTTGGACGGGTTTCACGGGTTGACAATTTTGTGTACACCCCTAATTGGTTCCACGTTTACTTGTAGACAAAGTCTTCCAAACATTTGAAACACAGATATTTTAGATGATTCATTAGCATGGGAACGGATCTGGTTTCTAAGAATCTATTAGAACCGTTGATTATAAAAGTCTAAAGTAGAGGTGCATAAGAACCTGATCCAATCGAAAGTGGTAATGGTCCCTACCAAGATTGGTTTCTATTGCCGTGACACAATCCCCTTTTTTGGACACGTTTTGTTTCTGTTTTAGTTTTAGTTTTTGTTTAAAACACGACTTTGAAATAATTGTGTATAACAACAGAAAATTAACACATGAAATTGTTTTTATCAAGCAAACATATTTAAAATGTTATTAAGCAGTTTCTTTTATTTAATAATTATTGATAACAGTGTGTTCAGTGGGTATCATAACGTATTTTGTGTAATTAGTGAACAATGAAACCATTTCATTAGATGAAACTGTGAAACGTTTTCGTTCATTAAATGTAGTAGTAAATTCTTTATTATTATTATTCAAAAGGTTTCATTATGTTAAATTGATTATAGTGTGTTTTATTTTTATTGTTGATCTATTTTAATGATTGATATAATTTTATTTACAATATTTGAACATAAAATTAATATATTATTTTACAAATGATTTTCTTTCATTAATATTACGATATACATGATATGGTTGTCATTAATATTACCACTACCAAAGTTACCATTTTGCCCTTATAGGGATTATAAAATAATTTTTTTATAATTTCCTAATATAACCTAAACTAATCTTGATCATTGATCAAGAAAATAGATGGATGAAATTGGTTTACAAGGTTTACACAAATGAGGGGGTTTTTTGATCACTCCTCTCTCTCTCTCTCTCTCTCTCTCTCTCTATATATATATATATATATATATATATATATATGAGGCAAATCAAATAGAAACCTTTTATATGTTAGGAACTCTATGAACCAATATAGACCACTCATTTAATTTCCGTAATTACTCTATTATTTATCTTATTTATTATATCAAGTGTTTCTTAAAAAAAACTCTTATTTTGCTTTGATTTTGAAACAACACATCGGTTTATTTGTTTTTGTAGTTTTTGTAATGGCAATTGGAATGATATTAACTCCTACTTATTCATTATCTATATCACACGAATTGAGAAGTGACTTTGTGAAAAAGTACATCGCTAAATCAGAAGAACGATCGGCTCGAACGCTCGGGTTGGAAATGATTGAGAACTACGACGGGGTCGAAATGCATTTGTGGTTGGACAACTGTAAACACGAGGGTACATCAGTTGATTTTAAGCTAGTACAATCAATGATTCCGCCTCTTGTGCTCTATTAGGCCTATCTTTTCTTCCCAACATTGAATTCCCTAACTTTCCAACTTTTGTCGTTTTCAATTTTTTTTATTAACCTGGATATCCAACCCGCTATGCGAGTCGACTACAGGGCGACCACCGCTTTGCAGATAGCCCGGAGTCATCGCATTTGAACCTCCGTGGCCACAAGGGGATTTTTATTCCTCCTTGGATTTGAACCTGTGACCTCCTGGTACTTTTGACCTGTTTTCATTGGCATGAGTTGATCAGTTTTTGTAATACGTGTTGTTTCACCAATGAAATAACACATGAGGTTGATATGTTTTGAATGTAGTGTCATTTCACCAATGAAACATTACATCGATCAAGTAAGTTCAAATAGGAAAAATGAGTTTTTTTCATAATACCGTTGATAAGATAATTATGGAAGTTATATATATATATATATATACACACACACACACACACGAGGTTTAAACGAATGGATTGGATTGACTTGAAAAATGGAAAGATTCGTACAAGTTATATGTTTCGTCACCATTTTATGGATATGATTTCTACCCTATATATATCTCCACCATCTTCTCTTCATCTCCTAAATGTCCTCTCTCCAACTCATACAGTTATAGATCGATTATATTCGGAAAAAAAATCCCAATTATCATTCATCGGTTATGGATAACTCCTTCGATCTTGACCTAGCTTTAACCATGGAAGATCATAACTCCACCACCACCACCTCAAGTACTACTGATGTGAATAGCAAAAGATTAGAAGTGTGGTTGCCGGAGGACAACATTTCCGCCATGCTAAAAGTGGTCGTGCCTGCTGCAACGGGTGTTTGTACCGTGTGCATGGAAAGTTTTCAGTCATCATGTAAGCAAGCTCCTTGCGGACATGTGTATCATGATGGTTGTATTACAAAATGGCTCTCCTTTTGCAATTCTTGCCCAATTTGCCGAAGCAAAGTGCTCGATCTGCGATTAGAAATAGGTTCCGACAAATCCTCCAACGCTAGGTTGGCTTAACAATCATGTTATTGAGACAATGATGCCTCATTAGGGTTAGAGATGGCAACGAGATCAAGGGTACTGGGACCCAACAGGGACAAAGATTAGGGTCCCAGTACCCTGTCCTGACCCTCTTGGGGATTAAACTTTCATCCCCATCCCAAAAGAGGATCAATGATTTTTCTCTATCTACACAGTTTAAATTTTTATCTGATATCTTCATATATAAATGTCAATTTAACGTTTAAAGATATATCATGCTAAAATTTCAATCACCAAATTTTAAATGTTGCATTTGTACAAGAATAATATCAAACAAACCTAGTACAAAAACTCGTATGTCAGTTGCAATATTTAATAATTAATTTTTTTTTATTAACCTGGATATCCAACCCGTTATGCGAGTCGACTAATGTCAGGACGACCACCTGCTTTGCAGATAGCCCGGAGTCACCGCATTTGAATCTCCATAGCCACAAGAAGATTTTTATTCCTTCTTGGATTTGAACCTAGGACCTTTAGGTACTTTTGACCTTTTGAGCCAAGATCAAACCAATCAGGCATCACCCTTGTGGTTGTATACATCCACATTATTATCATTAAAAATTTCCCCACGAAAAACCAAACCGACATTGAAATAGTTTTTACAAGTTTTCATCATTATTGAAGATTCATTATATTAATTACCGTTTTGTATTATATATACTCTGCTTTCTCATTTTATTATACACACACAGACACAGATAAGTGTTTTTGACTTATACTTCATGTCGGTGACGAAGGGTATTCCCATCGCTGGTCAACTTGAAGATTTCTCGATCATATCAGGTTCAGATATCACTATTTTTTTAAGTCATTTTACAAGGTTTTGGCATTGGAGACATAACTTTTAGTTAAAAGTTTGGTCTTCACAAGTCGATTGATACATTGGTGAATCTTCATATTTTTTATTAACCTGGATATCCAATCCGTTATGCGAACCGACTAATCCCAATGTGACCGACCACTTGCTTTGCGAGTAGCCCGAAGTCACCGCATTTGAATCTCCATGGTCACAAGGAGATTTTTATTCCTCATTGAATTTGAACTTGGGACCTCCAGACACTTTCTACTTTTGGAGCCCAAACTCAAACTACTTTTTTTAAGTATATGATATTTATATACGGCAAATGCAACAAATACACTCACATACCCTTCTCATATTTGGTGAGGTTTGAACCCCTGACCTCTTAAGAGACCAAAGACCATTTTGGTGTTAAATACTACTTGTTAGAAAGGTTACGGAAAAAAAAATGTTTTTGCATTAGAGGATGATTTTCAAGAGAGGGTTTTGCTTATTGGAAAACTGATATGGTAAAGAGAAACATCATTAAAGACTTGTTCACGTAATTGTCGTTATTATTGTTTTATGCAATTGGTTCCACACTGACTTCTAGACAAAGTTTTCCAAACATTTGAAACACAAATATATTAGATGATTCATCAGCGTGAGAATGGATCTGGTTCTTAAGAATTTGTCAGAACCATTGTTTACAAGGGTTCAAAGTAGAGGTGCACAAAAACCCAACGTGAAATTAAGGTTTGGTCCCTACCAAGTAAGGATGGTGATTTGCCCTGACCCGGTGGAGAATCCGGCTCTCTTGATCCGCACGGGGATTCCCTGCTAAAATGGGTCTCGGGGTCAGGGGTTGTTGCTCAAACCGAGGTTGGGACAGGGATCCCTGGTAGACTCAAATTAACATATATTCTTCATGGGGTTTGACTGGGGTTTGACCGTGGATGGGATATTAATCCTCGTATCCGTCGGGGACCGGGGGCTATTACTAAAACCGGGACCGAGGCCTACAAAACCCGCCCAATCCCCGTCCTGTTGCCATGCCTACTACCAAGGTATGATACAATTCAAACTAAATATTATAAAAAATGCACGAAAGATAATTCAAACCATTAATAAAAAAACGCAATACTTCATACATAAACCGACCTAAGAACCAGTTTCGGGTGATCGGGCCTCAAACTGAGCTCACTTGTACTAAGATTTATGAGACTTGGTTTGGGACCACTGACGTATCTAGATCAGTCCGTACTTAGTTGGTTAAGGACTAGACCTGAAGATCGATCAAATTTTTTATTTTAAAAAACAAACTCGTTAACCTAGGACAAGTAGACCCTAGTGGGTCCCACTCTAAAAACTTAGACCAACCACGCTGACCTAATTTGCACCGATTTGTTAGATGTACCTTTAAGATGCGATAATGACAGAATTCAAGAGTTCCATGATACTGTTGTCTGTAAAGATTATTAAAATCTTCAAGGGCATATTAGAGTTTTCTGTAGTTGCTCAAATGGTACACACCTCAATGGCATAATGCCTTCACCTGATTTAAAGATAAACAGCTTTAATCATCTACAGTCCCTCCATAACCAGTCATCCATATTCCAAGATCATCGTATTGAAGTTGGGCAAAAAATAATTAACAACAACCAACTTTGTGAGATCTCATATCGGTTGGGGAGGGAACAAAGATTGTCTTATAAGGAACTTGATACCTTCTCTATCAGACGTATTTTAAAACAGTGAGTCTAGGTGTAGACAAAATGGACAATATCAGGTACAGTTAGCAACCAATTTTTTCCTAGTATTCTTTAAGTTTTAGAATACGGGGTTAATGTTGGAATATGTGAAAAAAGTGATAATACCCAGTAAACTTCAAGGGTATTTTGGTAAACTTGAAAAGCTTACTTAAATTTTGATTGTGAATTTTATTGTGGTAAATTTTCTGTTGTACAATAGGTATAACACATAAATCCTATTTGTCAAAACCCCATTGGCGGCTACCACCGTCGACCTCCCCCTCTCCTTACAACATCGTCGTGGACCTCTTATCAACAACCAAGAAACACCGATAACACTTAAAAATCACCCTCACCAACTGTCCCATCTCCATGTCATCTCTTACCCCATCAACCCCACCCCTACCTTTGCATGTTCCATCTCCCACGGCTAGGGGCGAATCCACATCCAAACTAGGGGGTCAATTGCCCTTTGGTCCCTTATCGAGTCCCAAGTGCCCCGTCACCATCACTAAGAATCATGAATACACCATTGTTTACGGTTATAGATCGATGATAATTGTGTTTTCAGAAGCCCACTCATGATATCAAAAAAAAGTTTCACATCAAGGATGGAATATAGGATGAATAGGGATGGATGTCGTGATACAAAATTAAATGAAAAAAGATTATGTGGCGTTTGGTTCACAAAATGAAATCTGTCTGAATTGGAATGAAATTTAACTAGGTCTGATCATGTACTTGGTCGACAAAAATTGGAATCTATTTGTTTGGTTCGCTAAATGTAACTTCATAATTACAATAAAATAGTGATAAATGACCAAAATACCCCTTCATGATATTTTCATACTTTATTGCTTAATTAATATATATTATATAATGACCATATTAATATTAATGTAAATGGACGGCACTGGTGGCTGTGACAACAGTGGTAATGACGGTGATAGTGGTAGTGGCAATGACCATAACGAAGATGGTGGTGGTGGTGGTGGTGGCGGCAATTGCAACGATGGTGGTGGCATTAGTGGAGGCGACGATGGTGGTGGTGACAATCGCCATCGTGGTGGAATGAGATTGATTAAAGTAAATATAAGAGTACAATAGTCTTTCTTAATTTGTTTTTAGTGAAATAGAACTGGAAACCGAAGAAATTAAATTCCATCATACATGGAAATGAAACTATGTACCAAGACTCAGAGAATGAACCAAACACATGAATCGAATTTGGTCAGTAAAACTAACCATTCAAATTCTTTCAGATTCCAGCAGATTCCAGCGAACCAAACGCCACCTTAACTTCCTAAAATTTATAATAAAAAAAGGTACTCCTACTAAAGTTTCATTTTAGACCAATTATTAAATGACCACACTAAAATCTTAAAGTGTGTTATTGCTTATAAAGCAAAATCTTTACAAAATAGTACTTGGATTTACAACCCACCAAAACCAACCCCACCAAGGGGGGAATTATAGATGAAACATCAATTTATTTGAAACTAATTTATGAAAAATATAAAATTGGCCAAAGAAATTGATCAATCCTTGGCAGATTTCTGCTTGAAAATTCATTGTGTAACACCTGTGTTTTTATGGTTATTCGTTTAAGAGGGTATATTTGTATTAGCAAGTCAGTCAGTGTCTAGCTACTATTGAATGTTCATGACTTTTGAATCAAGAGTCATGGTATATTTGGGGTGAAGAAAAGCTGTGTTGGAGGTTATCCGAGCATTAAGAGACCTCTGATGCAAGTTTGATTACTTGAGAGGTCATAAATCAGCTAAAAAAACTCAATAAAGTGTCGAGCTAGTTGTCAAGTGAGTTAAACTCACTTGAAAACTAGCACGAGGAATTTTGGGCTGGGGTTAGTTTATCGCTAGTTTAAATTAGCGGTGAAACTAGTGTCAGACACTGAAATTCTGGCTAGTTCCACGCTAGTTTAAACTAGCGGTGAAACTAGCGTGGAGGCCTGGTCTGTATAAAAGACCAAAAATCGGGGTTTTCCTCATTTTAGCTATAACTTCTTCATTTCTACTCCGTTTTGGACGATTCTTTTTGCTATGAATTTGTTTTTTGAGCTCTTCAAGATGGAACAATGATGATTTTGGAGTTCATAGAAGTTGAAGGTAAGATCACATCTTTGTCCTTTGAATCTAGAGTTTGGTCCTTTTGCACCAACAACTCTCATTATATCTTAGGTTATCTTTTGTGTATGTTTTGGAAGAAAATGGACTGTTATTGAGAGCTTTGCACCTATCTGGAGTTGTAGTTTGAAGATTTCATCTCTTCACCAAAGGAAGCTCAAGATTTGGGTAAAACCTAGATTTAGCTTAAATCTAGCAAAATAAGTTCAAGTTGCTTTGTGAAAACTATGTACACGCCAAAAGCGTTTATTTTGAAGTATTAACATGTTTTACTTGCTACTTATCAAATGTGTGGGTTATTTGGTGAGTTTTGCATATTTGGTATATTTTGTTTTATAAATCATATAAAATGTTTATATTTGGGTTTTTGGACGTTTTGATAAATAAATCACAAGTGTGGGTCCTTTAGATAAAAATTGTTTGATGATAAATGCATATTATTGTGTTATAAGACTTTTTGAAATATAAACGGTATGGTTTTAATTGGAAAATGATTTGTCCCAACCAATAATATGTTTTTGAGTTAATCATGTCTTTTGGAGCATGTATTTGCATAAACGTCGGTTAAATACGTTGTATTGCTTTTGATGACTTTTATGAAATAGTCAATTGGGTTGTTGAGTTTTTGGCTCGGTTTTGACTTAAATGAGTACTGGGGACGTATGTCCAATTTAAATTGCTCTATGTCGAGCCTTTGGAATTATATGCAATTATGGCATAATTATATAATATATTACACACTTTGAGTGCGTTAGTCATTCAGTTGGAGTCGTATAATTTTATGGCTAGAATGCAATGGATTCATAGGCATAGAAGTCGGTTTTAAGGAGTACGTAAGGGATGAGATTCTCAAGTCGTAACTTGAAAATATACATTATGATTATTATGTGATTTCCAAATGAACGAGTTTAACGTGAGTTTCCTTTTGTTCTTATTGGAAATAGGCATTGTGATTATTATGTAATTTACAATTCATCTTTTACTGTAGCTTGGAAATATGCATTGTGATCATTATGTAAGTTCCAAGTGAACGAGTTTAACGTGAGTTTCCTTTTGTTTTTTATTGGAAATAGGCATTGTGATTATTATATAATTTCCAATTCATCTCTTACTCTAGCTTGGAAATAAGCATTGTGATTAGTATGTAATTTTCGAATGAGCGAGCTTTCGATCACAATTGACTGGATTGGGTTAATGTCAGTGGTTTTATATCTAAAGTGATGCAGCTAATAACATTAACTTGTAGCTTACTAATGTGTTCCGTCACAATAAATAGTAAATCAGGTCTCCCCTCTTCATCTTCAGATGTTTTATACCATTGTATTTAAGACTTGATTGAAGCTATGATGTTTTATAGCTTTACTATTAGTCGTGTGAGCATTGAGTTTTGGTTGCGTGTAATTGAGTATCTCGATTAATGAGACTTCATCAAAAAGTGGTGGATTTTCGGTATGTTGCTTTTACGATATATATATTTCAATTGCAAAATTATAAATTTAATTAGCAGTATTTCAGTTTTACCATCTTACGATTATGATGAAAACTGTTTGAACTCATTAGGCATTAAATCTAACCTTTTTTTCTTTGTCGGCATGTGCATCAGGTCCGTGAAGAAATGGTACTAGCAACACCGTGATGAAATAAATGCTAGATAGTGGCACGAGAAGGTTTTAGCTTATCATTGATGTCTTCCGCCTTTGGAGGTAGCAACAATTATTGGGTTATAGTAACACCCGACCTTATTTTAGTCTTTATGTAAGACTTTATCTATCTTTTTGTTGATGATGATTTTAGATTCGATATTCGAGGTAATTCAAATATTGATCAATAGAAAAGAGATTTATCATTTATTTGTTGTATTAATGAAAATTTTAAATTAATCGTTCTTTTCAAATTTGAGGGTGTTACACGTTATACCCCAAAAATCCAATACGAATAAATTTAAGGGTAAAAATATATAGTAACCATTGAAGTTACCATCAAACTTATCACGACATGTTTTCGAAGAAAAAGACGAGGTAATTCATGTTTGACAAAGAACCGTGTACATTTTTTTTTTTTTTCTACATATTTCGCTTTTTTGGTAATCGCCAACGAAGACTTCTTGACAAAGAACCGAGAACGGAGCCCTTTTCTTGACCTCCTTTCTTCGAAAACACACGTTTGGCTGCCAAATCTGAATATTGTCGACCACCCTTTTTCTTTCTTTCGATCTGGCCAAAAAAAATGAACAACAAACGTTACATGTAAACTTGAATACAATAACTTAACGGTAAATAAACCAAATCTAGTAAATCCCACCTAAAGGCAAAAGGTGGGAAAGGTGGGATCTGGAGGTGAGATGTATGTATGTCTGACCTTTTTTTTGGAAGTATATAATATTTATATACGGCAAATGCAACAAATAAACTCACACACCCTCCTCATCTATGGTGAGGTTTGAACCCCTGACCTCCTAGAAGGCCAAGGACTACGATACCACTAGGCCAAAGGCCCTTTGGTACGTATGTCTGACCTTTGTGGCTTGAACTTAATTGATAAATGGGTTGTGGTAACACCATGAACTTAACGAGTTCTATAGTTTTTGTAACTATTTTTTAAAGATATATAGATAAGAATAAATACAAAAGTATTGCAAGTATATGTTATGAACCGAATTGACTGAATAATTGAAATAGAAACCAAGTGATAATGGACAATATAAGGGGCCGTTTACCAAATGCTTACTCGGGTAAGCGCTTACCAAGTTATATTACATTACCGGATGAATATGGCAATGACCAAGAATCTTACCTAGTAAGAGCGAGGCAAAGACCGAGAGTCTTACCCGGTAAGTGAGGACAATGACTCTTACCATAGTCAGCTCTTACCGGCTAAATTAGTGCATAGAAAGCCGTTTTTATTGACTAAAATCTTACCTAGTAAGTAAATGATAGTGTTCAATTTTACCGTTAAGTGCTTACCGGATTAGTGTTTGGTAAACGGTCCCTAAGATGCGAACAAAGTAGCATTCGAGAGGCTAGGACTCTCCCATATAGAACCCACTAATTTTCTGAATGCCTCTCCTTACAACCAGACCGACTAATTTATACTACTAGCATCCTAGGATTATTCTAGATATGACCAAAAGGTCGAGATTTTTAGGTATATAACCCTAATTCAAAGAATTTAAACAAAAACATAAACCAAAGAACCAGGTAAATCTATCCCGGGGGTAGGGTCTAGAGAGGGTATGATATATGACCCAAGGAGTAGAGAGCCTATTTTAGTGAAGGGCTGTTGTTTAGCTAAATGACCTCTTGACAGGTGCTATTTAAATCCATGACTTTTTGACAAGCTTCTAAGCATTCTTGTGCATGAAAGTGACATTCTTATGTTAAGCACTCACATTCTCAAACTCGTCAAAAGATCATGAATTTATAAAAAGGTCTATGAGAAGATCATGTAACCAAAGAGCCCGTCCGTGAAGATCCCAGTTTATTTCTGAACTAGAAAGAATTAGGAAAGAAACTATAGTATTATTTTGATTTTAGGTGTAAACTTTGTGGTTCTAGTTATGTTTGGCTGGAGTTGATTTGGCACCTAAAATGGTTGAATAAATAGAAAAAATGCATGAAGAAGACATATCAGGAGAAACAATATTGCATTATAGAACTGTGAATATGTGCAGGAAGCATGTATTATAAGCAAAATATGGAGTTCAAGAATGACATAAGTGTAAGGGTGTCTGTGGGATTCACATGTGAATGTGAGTACATTTTGAGATGAAAGTTGTGAGGGGTTATAAGAAATCATACCTTTGCTATCTTCCCTTTCCTCAAATGGTATCGAATACCAGACCAATTGATAGTCCGAGAAGCATACGAACGAAATGCAGAAATGGGGTATAAAAAGTTATCCACCAACATTGCAGCAAACACCTGCGCGTTTTTAAATTGGATTCAGTCAGGGTGAGCTGAGACGAGCCTCGAACCCTCTTAGTGTCATTTTAAGCAATAAAGTCATGCTTGCAAACATTTTGGTTAGGCATAAGCTAGCTTTTTGAAAATCTACTTCATGTAACAGTTCTTCCAACTATGCCCCTTATATTTTTCCACTTATGTCATTTTACATTGTCATCTAGCTTATCAGCTAGTTTTTATCAAACATGACTTGGGCCTGTTTGCTAGTAGCTTAATGGGACTCACAGTTTATTCGGTCAGCTACACGTGACTGTTTGATAGAGACTTAATGATATAGAAAGAAACTTCCTCAGTTAGTTTCTAGAGAGAAGCTTTTTTCAGAAAACCTAAGTTTTTCCAAACATGCCTTCCCAATTAGAAAAATGCTCATTGCAATGAAAAAACCATTTATAAAGAAAAATCTTCTCAATCCATACAGACGGATTAATCCACACAGACAAAACTTAATGGAAAACCAACAAAACAGCCCCTAACTTATTAGCTAACAACTAGCTTTTTGAGTACCAGCTAGCTTATCAGCCAACAACTAGCCTATCCGCTAGCTTGCCAAACATGGCTTAAGATCAGTTTATCAGTCAATACAATTGCCTAGACCACTTGTCCACAGAAAGGGTATTCACAGTTTACAAAGATTATGGTATAGGAACTCACCAACCACCAATTATAAGTTTTAAGGGACAATTGAGGTGCCTCAGGAGATAACATGTTGCATAGCTGAACTTCTATTCTTGTCAAGTTCCACATTGAAAGAAGTTCAATGGCGGTGCATATGGCTAGACAGCCGGTCATTTTCAACCCTGCAAATAAGATAGAAAAGAAATGATAGAAACTTCATAAGAAGATTACTGATCTGCATTTGTTTCAAACAGAGGAATTGAAAGAGAGGCTCACCATTAGGGTCGAAAATATGTTCTTCAAGAAAATACTCGTTTAACCACACTCTAGATGCTGCTACAACATGAACCACGGCCATAATATATGGCGCTACGAATCCCCAAGATAGGTAGCAGTGGGTACATAATAGTGCACGGTTCATCATCCAGTTTTCGAATGTTGTATACGACAGCAAGACGAATGTTTGTTTTTGCAAATAACTCCAGTACCTGTCAAAGACATAAATATGTGAAATTTAATAACATGGGGTTTGTTGATCTCAAATCAATATATACAGGGTCAAGTTCAAGGGAAAACCATAGAAAAATGAAAAAACTGAGGAACACCCAAGATACGGTTCATCTGGATAGTATGCACATGTGCATACAAGTAATTTGTAATCAATTTGTCCAGTATGCACATGTGCATTGCAAACACTTCAGATGAATGGTTACCAGGGGTTCCTCAATTTCTCATTTTTTGGGGTTTTCCCCAGAACCTCTCTCTCTCTCTCTCTCTATATATATATATATATATATATATATATATATAACTTCTTTCCTACAGAAACAAGTTAAGGCTTAGAATAATTCAGACCTTGCAAAGTTAAGATGGACAGGAAGAGGACGAGGGAAAACAGCAAAAGGAGGTGATGTTATGAGCCTCTTATGAGCATCTGCAAAAGAACATCAATATAAGAAAGAAGTTGAGTGTTGCATCTCAGAGCAGCAGGCGGACAATAACCTCCAAATGTAACTTCAAAACCATGATGCAAATTATTAGTAGCCCACAACTTTAAGCTTTATAAAGAGCTCACAGATCTAATTTCTATACATGTAGGACGGCTTGTTACAATAAATCATATTCGCTCGATTCTAAAAGAGTAATAATATTATGAAGTATGCAGCAACATCAAGATAGCTATGATCTATAGTCGTTAGCAATGTCAAGAATCAAGATGTCAAACCATAGTGAAATTATAATGATAAATAATAAAATTGGAAAATCAAGCTAAATGTGGTGATCAGGTTTGAAAGGAATAAAAACAGGAGTGTGTTTCCTTTCTTTCAAAGAAGATATCTCATGACAATGACCACTTCAAACTAGAGACGAAGCAAGCCATAATCACATATTGCATATACAAGGATAGAGTGAGGTAATTACCATTCATTTGTACAACATGTGCATACACGTAATTGAAGATGTTGTTTGGTTTCAATGCATACTGGAAACGTTACTTACAAAATTACTTGTATGCACATGTGCATAACGAACAATTACTATGGTGTTCCTCAGATGTTTCATTTTTTTGCGGTTTTCCTAACCTGACCCTATGAGGATATTATTACAAACAATATGTGCTTTAGGGGTGTGAAGCTATCAAACCGTTGCATGATTTGATTAATATTCATAAAAGTTTCTCAAGTCTACACAGAAGTCTCAAATAACAGAACTGTAGATAGATAAAACAATCAGAAAGTCAAATTACTGGCTATAGCCGCAAGAGTCATATCATCAGAGTATCCACCATGTTGAAGCCGTGATATAACACCATGTCTGTTGGTTCTTAAATCATCTGCATGCATCTACAAAGAGAAAAAGGAAGAATCTTGTTAATTAAGAAATCAATAGAACTTCTATTGCTAAGTAGTCAAAACAAGGGTAAAAGCTACTTGCCATCATGCAACCTCCCCACAAGAAGTATGTTTTTCCACCAGTTGCAAATCCAATTGAACATGGCTGTAAACAGGACCATGTTATGTCAAGCAAACAATAATATATGGGTAACTTGAAGGATGCCAAGGCAAAAAATTAACAAAAGATAACTTAATGCATGTTTACTAGGTAAGCGCTTATCAGCGAGAATCACCATCCTCACTTACCTCATTGGGTGACATTCTCGGCCATCAAATGGCTTGTTGGTAAGCGACTTTTGTCCGGTGCTTATTGGGTAAGAGTCATTTCCCTCACTTACTAGATGAGATTCTTGGTCATTGCTATACCTCTTACCGGGTAAGATTTTTGGTGCTTGTCATGCTAACTCGGTAACGTAAATGACACCCGATAAGCGCTTAACCAGTAAGCGTTGGGTAAACGGACCCTTAGACAAAGCATAACACCTCGACAACAATTTATCAACACATACGAATATTTGGCAACAAAATTGGGCTGTATAAACCACCAAATATGTCTAATAGATTGCTTTATAGGACTTCAAGTTTATAGGACCTAACTCTTGTGCGTCCTATGTAAAGGTTATATAAGTTGATAGGACGTTTTTAGGTGACCTAACAAGTTTTCATAAGACAGTTTTGAAATAAGGGTCCTACTAGTCTTTTTATATAACACCATTGAAAATTTTCTTATAAAAGGTGTGTTCAATAGGACTCTTGTCAAAAGTACCCTATAAAAAAGCTAATATCACATTTTATTTCAAAAGTATCCTAAAAAAACTTATTAGAAAGCAAATATAAGTCGTATCATCCTATTGTAACACCTTTATATCGGACACTTGTATAAACTTTGAGTCCTAAAAGCAGTCTATAGGACATTTAGACATATTTGGGGTCCTATAAAGCTGAATCTGTTGTAGTGGTATACAGAGAATCTGTGGTACAACAAAATGGATTACCATGTGATATTCATATATACAGTAACTGCCTAAACTCCCAGATGGTAAATCGAGGGTGTAGCCTGTTTGGATAAATATCTGCAATCATTAGACACAGTTCAAACAATTGAAGAGTTAAATATAGAGAACAAAAAGATCAAATAGGGAACTGATTACCATCTATTCAAGTGGATCGGATGGCTGATCAGCATGAACATACCTCAGGATTCTTTTCCATCTCAGCAGTCAGGGCTCCAATTGATCCAGGATGAAGCCTAACATCATCATCTAGAAATAATACGTATTTACTGTCTTTGCTCATTTTCTCCACTCCAACCTAAAACTCGAATCATTTCACGTAATAAGCTGTATTTATTGAAAGGTTTAAGCAACACCTCAAATACATAATCAATGACCCACATGTGTACAATAAGGGTGCATTTGGTATGTGGGACAAGACGTGAAAACTTGTTGTCCCATGTTTGGCACAACAATAAGACGGGGACAAGATAGAAGATGAGTGAGTGGGACAAAAGAGCAGTATTTTTTTGGACGAGATAGGTAAATTACAAAAACTACCCGTCTCAAATTAAAACCTTAAAACCTTCCATAATTCTTTCACCCGTCTACTCACTCACATCAGTCCTGTCTGCATAGCAAACGCACCCAAAGCTGAGGCCTCAAGTAACTTCAATATTAGGCTGCATCAGCACAAGAAAAGGATCCGGAGTTGATTTGCAGCATACCAACTGATTATGAATTTTCTGACTACATGTTGTAGATGGACCAGCTATAATTATGCTTGCATCAAGCTCACCCTGCATATGTGTAAAGAAGTAAGGAAGAGAACATAGACTGGCAAAACTTATAGAATCCTTTTTGAAGTCGTCACTCGTCAACCGGTACAAGTTGTTTTCCGACTTATCACAGATCCAGAGCATCGAACAGGAAAAGTAAGTTTCCTTTAGAAAAGCATGCAAGATTATCATAAAACAGTTGAGAGAGGGGTTATGTGTCAACTTTCAAAAAGTTAAAATATATAGTAATAAGGATATAGGAGCTAATATAGAGTAGGCTAATCAAAACTTGTGGTTAAGATAAGATTTTTTTGAAAGCATTTTACCATCTAATGACGTCCAACAACAATCTCATATAGATTGGAAGTATGATATTGCCTGAAACCAAATAATTGAGCATGTGAGAATATGTGGAATACCATTAGATTACTCTACGAAAGTGCCCTTGAGGAGAGGAGAGGTTCCAACATATATTAGATGAGAAATGGTCCAAATCTAACTAATGTGGAACCCCAACATAGCATATTCAATTAACTAATGTCCCTTGTCTTTATTTCTAAACACCAACAGAATGAAATAAAGCGAACAATTAGAAAAGAACAAGGGATACAGAGAGACTACAAGAACAGTTTAGTGATGCATTAAACCTACCTCAAAATCTATAAGTACGCGTGATATAGCATGATAAGCAGGGTCTGCAGTACTCTCGACAGTGAATAGGAACTCCAATGGGCCACCATAAAGAGATGTTATCTGTGTGGAGTTACGCATCAAAACCAAGCATGATAACTACTAGTAAACAACAGTATAAAATTAATCAAGTAGAGCAAAATGCTACAAGAAACAGGAGGGAGGCAGGTTCAAGTTAATGGCAGATATAATCGTCTCAGATCATATACGCTGAGAGGAGGGACACAAGATTTGAACCACCTAAACCCTATGCGTTGTAATTTACATGTTAGCAGGCAAAGGAACGATGTAACCACCTTTTCATACAGTGATACAGGCTATTTTTATAAGACTGCTTCATGAGTTACTTACTGCCTTTAGTTGGAAAAAGGGTAGAGCATGGAAGCATAGTCAGTCGCCAAAAAACTAACAAACCTTGAGCAGGTTCAATTTGGCAAATGTTAGCTACTTTCGTAAACTCTTTTTAGACCAATACTAAGAAGATTCAAGTGTGAATCTTTTGGCTCATCTATATAGCTAGTCAAAATTACTTGTCTTATATGGCGATAAGATGATGAACTTCTCATTTATAACGAACCATAAAAATGTTCCCATTTCAGATCTTAAACACCTGACACACAAAACTGTGATTGCTCAAAAATAAAAATACTAGATATTTTAATGTTTTTACAGGAGATAAGTATTGAATTCTTGGGGGGATTTATAGAAATTTCATATTATGTATAGATGCATGTTCTTTCGAAAAGCAATCTGAATTATTGATTACAAATATTAGAAAGATAATCTAAAATAAAATATCAGAAAGGAGTCTATATACAATCAAATTCAATTATTGTAAACTGGGATATTTTAATTATGTTTAAGCTCTTGAAACCCAAGTAGACACTGGACCAAAACTAGTTTATTTTATATCCAAATTCAGAACACTGTAAACGCATGAATGCTTTAGGGCAGTAGTATATATTGACTGGCGGAATTCATAGATAGAATATCTTGAAGATCATAATTGGAAAACCACATACAGGTGTTACAGCAAAAGTCCACAGATAAATTCCTAATGCAAAGGTATATGCTCAACTATCATCAAAACTACCAAACATCCATACAAGGTTGAAAAGTACAAGCTCTTGGTATTTTCCTTAGTTAAATTTATAAGAATGTCAAGCCTCCCAGCTCTAACAGCCATTCTACAACTCTTTGGATTGATTTGAGATCAAGGAGAGATGGAATTAGTTATACCCATTGGTGGCACTACTAAAACAAGAAGGGAAGATTTTGTATCTTAGATGTGTTGAATTCAAAAACAGAAAATGCATGCACATATTACCACTTGAGTTGTGGATGAAGAATAGTTATCATAATAAATATCTACACTAAAAAATTAGCCGTTTCCACTGCTGCCATCCCATTGTAAAACTCTTCAAATAGACTAATTTATTTATTACAGAAGTTTCTATCTAAGCAATGTCCTTTTAAGTGTTCGTGTTGATACTGGAAACATATGCATAAATGGATCTTGAACGAGCCAAAATATTATCTTAATGGTCATGATATATGGAGAACTTGCATTCCCTCAAGTGGAACTGTTGCCTAGTATGAACTTTGTGGGATACCTGGCTTCTCCAGTTGTGCAGATTGTAATCTCCAGATCCTTTCAAAGGCATTACCACTGTAACTCCTGGCAAGTTTTCCTGTTTAGAATGTTCAAGGTCATGAATATCATAACAAAGAAATGCAAAGCTATTGCCAGCTCGCATAGATTTCTTCATCTGCCAAATTTCTCTTCTTCTGCATGTAAATGGTTTATTTATTTTCAGATGAGTGTTGTGTATGAAAGTCAATAGCCAGAATGAGTTCTGTAGCAAATGCAATATAAATGATAGACTGTAGACACCAGTTTTTGATACCTGACATATGCTGCACCAGCCCATCCAGCAGCCAGAAATAAGCATATTACACATCCCTGTGCATGAATAAAATATTCAGATATTTCTCCCATGTCCGAAGCATCATCTTGCATGTCGTTACCAAGCCATCAAGGTAAGAAAAAATAATTAGAAATGTTAAATCAATCAATCTGCTCACTGATAATTAACCCTGCTACACACACAAACACATAGATGTGTGTGTATGCGACCTAAGTTTAGTTCCTTTAATAGATCATATCATCATTTTATGAGAGTAAAAGCTTGAAGTGGATGATCAGGAGGTTTTTCATTAACTTATATCAGAAATTCAGAATCATAATGCCCTTCTAACTGACAGAAGGCAAGCCAACACTCTTCAGGTAGCTAGGACATAATTTTTCATAAATCTTTATATAAGAGCAGTCAAAAGGTGAGATACATAGACAGCATTAAATTCCAGCTCACCTTTGTTTACATGTTTGCCAGAAATTTAATATTGAACACCAAGGCTTTAGCCGATATATTCTCACGATCTACGAACAAAAGGGATATGCAAAAACCACAAGTAGCATCCTATTTGATAATACTTTTGTTGGTCTATTCTGTCCACTTATTCAACCATGAAAATAATACAGTCCTTGATTCAGCTATATGTGATAGGGGTGGTTCTAATTAATTCAGCTCACCGAATGTGGGACATTCTTTTGGTGTTGCATTTGCAAAGACTCAAGCTATTTTGAATTCCAAATTTGCAAAACCAAAATTTGTTATTGTAATAATCTGGAAAAAGCATCTTATCATATAGATAATAATGTTTATAACTTGAATGAGCAGTTATCTTAAATCAAAAGAAAACGATTATCAATTATATCAAACATGATAGGTAACGTATCTTGTATCCACCTGAAAACCATCAAATCCATGGCTAACAAGACATCATCTTAGCATAATCGTAAAAAAATATAAAGAGGAACCGGCAAATCCCGAACCTGGATCTGAACAAAAATGGCGAACGGAGTACAAAATGTTCTGCTGGCAAAAAATAGAAAGGCGTCTAATGACTCTATCACCGGCGCGATGTCCATCGTAACTCGGCAAAATCTATTACAATTCGCATATATGAATAAGGAATCCTCTCTGTGACTAAATCAAATATGGTGAATTCAGATTTCTGATTCGAACAAATGAAAAACCTAGATAAAATCAAGCGGATAATGATTAAATCTTCAATGTTCAATTGCCTTTCTCTTCCAGATCGCCATTGAAAGGCCGGTGAAGGAAAGAGATGGAGGTAGAGCGCGCGTAATTTTTATATTTTAAAGGACGACAAGAAAGAGAAATGGATTACGTCACTTTTGCCACACAATATCATGAGTTTTCTTTAAATTATTTAAAGTAGCTATTTTCGACTTTTTCATTTCGTATTCTACGTGGGATTTTGGAATAGAATCTATTAAAGGAATTTAACTTTGAAGAAATTAAAATTAAATATTATTAGGTTTGATCATTTGTTTGGTTGGTAGACATTGTAATGGAATTTGTAAAAAAATTGGAATCTTTTTGTTTGGTTCACAAAATGTAGCTTTAGAACTGAAATGAAATATTGGTAAATGGTCAAAATGTTCTTTTTTGAAATTTTATTTTTTTTAAAACTAAAAATACTTTAATAAAATAATTATTTAATATGTAAAACAATATATAATACACAATTCAAATATAATCATAAGCCAAACGACGTTACTAAGTCGACGGTGGTTTAGATCGGTGGTGGTCCACAGTGGTTCAGATGGCGGTGGTCGGGCAGTAATTCAAATCAATGATGGTCCGCAGTGGTTCAGATGGAGGTGGTCAGGGGTGGTTCAAATCGGTGGTGGTTCAAATCGGTGGTGGTCGGTGGTGTCTGGCGATGGTTCAGATCGGTGGTAGTCGGCGGTGGTGGGAAATGGTTCACATCAGTGGTGGTCCGTGGTGGTTCAGGTGGCGATGGTCGACGGTGGTTCAGATTGGGAGTGGTTTCAGATTGGTGGTGAATCAGATCGGTGGTTGTTCAGATCGATGATGATCAACGGTGGTTCAAATTGACGGTGCCCGTCAGTGATTCAGATCGGTAGTAGTTGGCGGTGGTTCATATCGATCGTGATTCTGGTGGTTCAGATAACGATGGCTGACAGTTGTTCAGATCGGTGGAGGTCCATGGTGGTTCAGATGGGGGTTCAAATCGACGGCGGTCGGAGGTGGTCGACGATGGTCATAGTAGGTTTTATAAGATTAAGGTATATTGATTTAAAGGCATATTTGGTATTATGAAGATAAATAATTTCATTCTATCAAAATACCATGTAATTGCTAAGGAATGTTAAATTCTCTTATTTGTGGAATTTTAAAGATTCATTTCGTGAAATATAATGAACAAAACGAGAAAATGAAATTTCGTCAATGTAATTCAACATTCCAATTCCATTAGATTCTTTCAGAATCTACAAACCAAACGCCCCCTTAATCATTTCTCTCCTAGAATCATTCAAATGTCGTCCAGTCCATAAATGACATGATCGTATTTTGTGGAGGGATTAAAGTATAAAGTAAAAGTTTCTGAAGCAGGTCAACGATTACATGGACCAAATATGTAAATTAGGTATTAGTGAGTAAAAATATATCTGCTTGCGGATGTATTTGTCCATATTTATAAATTTGGTCCCTGTATTTTGCGGACTTGCTTCAAAATTCTCAATGATTGGTTCTTCTATCTATCGGTCGTTAACTTGCTCTCTTTGGATCCAATTAAATAAGAGATATTTTAGTCATTTTACTATTTTTATTATATTTAATATAAAAATCATATTATCTTTTTTATTTTAAATTGTAAAAAAAATATGGTAGTTGTCCTTTTCTTTTCTTTTTTATTTTACAAGTTAAAATATAATATGTTTCTTTAATTTTAATAAAAGATAGTGAAAATGACTAAAATACCCCTCATTTAACCAAATTTAACGGAAAAAGTTAACGACTATTAAGCAGATGAACCAAAACTGTTAGAATTGACAAATGCAAGGGATCAAATCCACATTCTCAAGGGGCGTTTGGTTTGTAAAATGGAATTAGAATTTATCAAATGAATTTGACTTTGAATGAATGAAACGGAATTTGACCATGCTTTGTGATTGTGTTTGGTTGCATGGAAATTGGAATGAAATTTTTAACGGATTGGAATTTTTTTTTGTTTGGTTCACGGAATTCAACTTTGAAATCGGAATTAAATATCAACAAATGACTTTTTATGATTTTTGAATAACAGAACTAGACTAGTGATATCGATAGCTATTTATCTTGAATTGATTCATTGATTACATATGTTGTCTATCGATCTCGTATAGATGGAGAAATTACGATATATATATATATATATATAGAGAGAGAGAGAGAGAGAGAGAGAGAGTACCAACAATATACAATAAAATGTTAAGTACGAGAAACAAAACCAACAATCAAAATTATGGTTGCTAAAATTTACAACTTTCGTCCATGTGCTTTTGAAATTATGGTTTCCACCCTTATGATTTGTAATTCATTGTTGTTTTCGTCCCTTAAGCCAACTCCGTCAGTGATTTACTGTTAAGTATGAAGAACAAAAACAATAATAAATTGTAAACCGATACGAAACAAACAATGAGGAAACCACATGGAAGAAAGAAGCAGAGAATTTTAAATTATAAGAACGAAAACTGTAATTTCAAAAGTACATGGATGAAAGTTGTAATTTTCAACAAAACCAGATGAACAAAAAACGTAGTTTACTCTTTAGAACATGTTTGTTGTTAGTTAAAAAAAATAACTAGTCATGTTTGATACAAGTTAGATGACAACGTAAAATGACCTAAAATGTCATCATAAAATATTAATTTAAATGCATAAGAGAACAACTTTTTTGAGACAGAGAGATTTAAAGCTTATTGAAACACTAATTAAAGTAGTTTTTAAAAAAAAAACTAACTTATATGCTAGCTTATATAGTTAAGCAAACCAAAGAATCAGACCCAATGTGCACTAGCATACAATGTAAAAAGCTATTTGGCAGTTGCTGCATGGTTTGGTGCAGAATGATTAAAAGACTCTCATGATATAGTGCAAAATAAAATATAATTGTTTGGTAATTATTTACAACGAAATTAGGACGCTGAATAGTTAAGAGGCAGACTTTTTTATTGAGACACAAGATTCATCTTTTAACAATTCAGATGTTGCCTCTTAATAAAAGTAGTAATAGATTAATAACAACCTCTTAATAGATGTTACCTATTAGCCATTTTGGCTTAATGATTAAGCCGTAAAAAACATGTTTGTATGGCTGAACGAGTAAGCCGTCCAGACCATTAAGTTCATTAAACTGTAAGCAGTTATTTGGTTGGTTCTCCATTAATTCATGCATAGATAAAGTTGTCGGTATGGATTAACCAGTATATATAGAGAGGGGAAGTTTTTTGCTTGAGAGTTTTCTCATAGATGGAATGAGCATTTTTAACTGGCAAGGACAGGTTTGAAAAACGTGGCCTACTTCCCTCCTATAAGCTTTCTGAATAAGCCACAATCAAACAATCGTATATAGTTGACCGAATAAACCGTGAGTCTCGTTAAGTTCATTAAGCTGGAACATAAAACGAACCAAAAAGAATCAACCCTCGATCTCATTTGCAATCTTGCTGCTATTAACTCCAACCAAATGATGAAGAAGAACACCGGCTGCCACGCTCACGTTCAAGCTTTCGACAGCGACAAACGATCCCACCTCCGCAGTCTCCACCCCTTCCGATTCAGCACTCAAATGTACCGGAATATTCCCACGAATCTTAACCAACTGGGTGCACGACCTTTCGACCAATGGTCTCAACCCCGTTCCCTCACTCCCCAACACAAGAATCGTGGGCTCACTGGTGGTCACCTCATCCACAGCCACGGCTCGTGACGAAACCGAACCACCAAGAACCCTCCAACCGTTTTCGGCTGAAGAAACCAAGAACTGCATCATATTCTTGCAAGATCTAAGCTCGGTAAGCTCAAGTGAACCGGCGCTCGCTTTGCTTACAACCCCACTAAGCGGTGCAGAGTTCTTGGCACAAAGAACGACCCCGGATGCACCAAAGAAGTAGGAGGACCGAATTATAGCACCCAAGTTTTGAGGATCCATAACCTCATCTAACGCCAACCAAAGAGGGCACCCTTCTTGTTCATCGGTCACTACACGGTCTAATTCACGAATATTCACCATTTCTAACGGTGAAGCATCAAGAACCAGACCCTGATGAGGCCGGTTGTCAACAATCATGTTAAGATCGTGTTTTGATACTTCTTTTTTCGTTAACCCGAGTTTCTCGGCAACTTTCAAAACTTTCTCAAACCCTTTTTTATCCTTCTTCTTCCTGTTATTTCCACTCAAATCGATCCCTTCTTGGACGTATAAAACATAGAATTCTCTTCGATTTGCTGTTAGCGCAGCAAGAACAGGGCCAACTCCATAGACACATTCACCGACCATTTTCGGTATGCTAGATTCAGTCGCTTCTTTCCATACCTTCTTTCCCCAATTATCTTGCCTATTAAACTTACGAAACTCGTTCCCATTTTGTTCATCAGCCACTGAATCGTATCTATCGAACCTATCTCTGATCTCATACCATCTGGGATTATCAAGTTCTTGAGTTTCTACATCAGAATCGTTTTCAGACCTCCTTTTTTCCCTATGATCGTTTCTTTCATCGAATCTCCTACCTTTTTCCCTATTCTCAACACCATTTTTCACAAACTTTTCAGCGGATTCCTGCCAAGAAGATCGAATGACCTTCCCTGTGACTGGTTCATCTTCAAGATTCCTACTTTTTTTCTGATCTTTCCTTCTAACATTCCTCCTATCCTTTTCCCTATTCTCTACGCCATTTCTCGAAACCTTTTCGGCTGATTCCTCCCACGACGACCGCCTCGTTGCAGCGGATCTTTCAGGGTCTTTCACTTCCTTATCTTTATCTTTAGCTAACCAAGGAAGGGGTTTCCCAGACCCAATTCCTTCAGCCACTTTTCGAGCATAAGAAATCGAAAAATTTCTAGGTTTAGAGTGAAACCCATTTGAAAAACATTCTCTTTTTGCAGCATATATCTGTTCTATCTTCTTCTTCCCAACCTGTTGCGAATCGAAGCTAACTGAACCATCTCTATCTCCACGCCCTAATAACAAACAATACTCATGGGTTTTCTCGATAAACCAAAACGAACGAGTTCTAAAGGGTTTTCCCCTACTTGAAGTAGGTAAAAATTGGGGAATTTTTTTGGGTTTTGTGTAAAATGGTAAAAAGCATTTTGGTTGTTGGGAAGAAGCTCTAATGGCGAAAGGGAAAGCTTGACACTTGGTAAAATTACAGTACATGATAACAGCAATTGAAAGAAGTACAAAACCAGTTGATGGTTCGAGAATCAAAGAAATTGAAAGATTTCTGTAACTTTCGAAAGAAGGAAGAATTGACCTGTTACGATTAATCGTTTGAATTACAGCTCCATTCGTGAAGATCTGGAGATCAATCCGCCATTGTTGCACCTTTGAATTCCATCTCAAAGTATATAAGATAAGTTATGATACGTCGCCGTTAGGGTTTTTCCGAAAGAATGCGCAAATACGCTGGGATAAAAATCAGTTTTACTGTTTTAGTACCTGAGGGTTTAAGAAATATTGCAATCTGGTCCTCAATGTTTACAATAATTACTAAACCAGTACTTCAATATTGCACTCTTTAATTTTATACAAAATTGCTTTTATTGTTGAGGAATGAAAATGCTTTTTAAAGTAAAGAATATAATGATTGAGATGAATATAATTTGTTACACTAAATAATAAGTCGTTTACCAAACGGTTATCTGGTAAACACTTGTCAGATCACTTATTTTGTCAACTGAGTATGATAAAAACTAAGAACCATACCCAGTAAGTGGCATGATAACAATCGAGATTCTTACCCGATATGTGAAGAAGAAGACACTTAGAGGCCATTTACCAAACATTTACCCGATACACGCTTACAGGTAATATTCAATGCTATCACTTACTTACTGAGTAAGATTTTAGTTCATCAAAACGGTATCGTATGCAACAAGTTACCCGGTAAGCGTTCACCGTGGTAAGCGGTCGTTTACCAAACACTTATGCGGTAAGCGCTTAACCGTAAAATGTAACACTATCATTTACCTACCGGATAAGATTTTTAGTCCACCAAAACGGTACTGTATGCAACAATTTACCCGGTAAGCACTTACCGTCGTAAGATTCGTCCCCCTCACTTACCGGGTAAGACTCTTGGTCCTTGTCTCGCTCTTACCAGGTAAGATTCATGATCCTTACCATATTCATCCAGTAAGGTAATATGACTTTCTTTTCACTTACCCGAGTAAGCGTTTGGTAAAAGGCCTCTAAGAGTTGTCGCCATCACTTACCAAGTAAGACTTCAGTCATTGCATTCGCGTTTACCATGTAAGATTCTTGATCTTTGTCATATTCATCCGTTAAGATAATATGGCTTGATAAGTACTTACATGAGTAAGTATTTGGTAAACGACCCTTTACTCAACTATCGTTTATTGGACAACAGACATTTACAAACAATCCATTTTTGATAGTCGAAATTGTTATCCGACAAGATAAAAGTTTGTCGATAAACACTTACCCACTAAACATTTGGTAAAAAAAACCCTAAAACAAACTTCGTTATATTCTAATGCACTTTGTCTTTAGCAAATATTTACTCATGGAATGAAATTAAAGTTTAGTGGTGTTTTTGTTAAATTCATAAAGTTAGTGTCCATTTTTGTAAATATTTAGTATTTTGGACAGCGGTTTCTCCAAGAAACATTTCTCCCTCACGCAAGCTCAGAAAACCCCCTTTCTATTTCCACTCCGAATCAACCAGCAGCCTCTTAAACCCTAGTAATAATTCTCTTCACGAAATCTCTCGCAGGATCAACGCCGATATGGGTACGCCGGAAACCTCCCGAGAACCGTGCCCGGACCGGATCTTGGACGACATCGGTGGCGCATTCGGCATGGGAGCCGTCGGCGGCTCCGCCTTTCACTTTCTCAAAGGAATCTACAACTCGCCGAAAGGCGAACGTTTCATCGGCGGTACGCAAGCGGTCCGTATGAACGCGCCACGTGTCGGCGGAAGCTTCGCCGTATGGGGCGGTTTGTTCTCCGCGTTTGATTGTACCATGGTTTACGCACGCCAGAAGGAAGATCCATGGAACTCGATCATCGCCGGTGCAGCCACCGGAGGATTCCTCCAGATGCGTCAGGGTTTAGGCCCCGCGACTCGCTCCGCGGTTTTTGGTGGCGTTCTCTTAGCCCTAATTGAAGGTGCCGGAATCATGCTCAATAAAGTCCTTAGCGCTCAACAGCTTCCGCCGGTGATAATCGAAGAGCCACCACAGGCAGGGTTTCAGTTGCCTAATCGAGGTCCGCAACCCGATCCGGCACCGGCGACCGCATCATCGCCGTCGTGGTTTGGTGGTTTATTTGGTGGCAAAGATGAGGAACCAAAGCCGAAGATGAAGACTGAAGTTCTAGAGAGCTTTGATTCGCCTGCACCTCCAACTTTTGAGTTCAAATGAACATGAATTTGCAGGGGTGAGTTCTTATTTCCAGAATCATTTGAATCTTTTTCCAATTTGTGGTTCAATCAGAGGGCAATTAACAACCAAATGAAAGGTTTCCTTTCGCTGTTCTTTAGATTTGAAGATATATAGTATGTTATAGAAATAAAATACCAGTTCTCATTGAATATTGATAGCATACTGACCTTCAATTGATGTTTTTCTTGAATCTTGATCTGTTCTTCTGTCCTGTTAATCTGTTCCAAGATCTCTGATTAGAATTCTTGAAATCAGCAAGCTTTCAATGGTGTCATGAATCTTGGTTAACCAAAATGCTTTTTAGAATTCAACTTAAAAGGACCCATTAGTTAGCAGCTCAAGGAGCTTAAAGAGACTCGCAGCTTATTGGGTCAGTCATTTAAATGATATAGAAAGGGGCTTATTCGATAAGCTTCTAGGGAAGTTTTATGTGGAAAGCCAAGATTTTTCTAGACCTGTCTCTTTAAAAAAACATGTTCCTTTCATCCTTTAAAAAGTTAATCCACACAGACAGCAAATTGAAAGCCAACCAAACAGCCTCTTAGATGTGTAAACAACTTAATGAGGGCAGTTTATTTATTCAGCCATAGACAAGTGTTTCTTTACAGCTTATTTGTTAAGCCATTAATCCTACATGAGTATATGGAATAAGCCTGGACCCCTCACATAAGCCACAACCAACAAATTAATACATAAATGCCCCTTAAATAACCCTCTCTCTTAAGCCATTTATGTTGTCTTTTTGTATTAAGATCTGAGTTAAGCTTGTAAGAAGATTCCAATCCACGTCTGGTACCTAGTCATGACCGGACGAGCTGGACTGACGAGAATGAGGGAGGCGGGTTGGTGAAAGAATTGTAGAAGGTTTTAAAACGTAGGTAGTTGTTTTTTGTTCCGGCTATTTTGATTGGAAAAAAAACTACATTTTTGTGCTACTAAGTCATGTGCAACTATCCCACCAGTATAAGAAGTTGTTTTGTCTTCTTGTTTCACATACCAAACATGAACATTAAAGAAATCAAATGTAGCCATGAGATGGGGTTTGGCTTGTGACTTGTGATGGTTGTGGAAGTTGGATCAAAACATGATTGAAAAGAAGTTATAAGCAATTGAAGTGAATGTTTGAGCTTGAAAAACTATTGTTGTACACGTACACATTTATCATTTGATATACCTTGTATGTACACACGATATATATATATATGAGACCAAGGGTTTTTTGTGAGACCCGTAAGACCAATTTATGTTCATTGATCAACTTTATAAGCTAATAATCTAATGGTTTAAAGTTGTACGGTGGCAATTTTGTGATTATTGAGAAGTCTCGTGGCAATTTGTGATATTGAGAAGTCTCGTGGTAATTTTGTGATTATGAATGTTCAGATTGTAAATCTAATCAAAGGGTTGAAAATTGGTCTTACGACCTACGAGTCTCACGAAAAATTCTTGGTCTCACATGATCCTATGTCTCTCTATATATGTGTGTTTGTGTGTGTGTGTGT